TGGATTAGATTTCTGGAATGTGCTCCAAGGTGCTGCTGCCTCCAAAAAGCATTGAAAAAGAGAGAAAAAAAAAACATATACAATATGAACACAACCCCCACCTCCATTTTTAAATAACTCCACAGGCTTCCGGTTTGTTTCTTAGCAGAATTCAGACTTCTTGTACAGGCCTATAAAGTCCTAAATAGCCTAGGATCACAGTATTTTAGAAGGCATCCAAAAAGTACAATTCCCATGCACCCCAAAATAAAAAGACTTCGGGGCCACTGTTAGCACAATGGGTTAAACCGCCAGCTGCAGAAAATCTTGCCGACCAGAAGGTTGGCAGTTCAAGCTGCGGTTGGGGTAAGCTCCCACCATCAGCCCTAGCTCTTCTGCTTACCTAGCTGTTCAAAAACAGCAATATGAGTAGATAAATAAGTACTGCTTTTGCAGGGAGGTAAAAGGCGCCACTTAAGACATGCCAACAAGATGTCCATGCACAACAGGTTCCTCAGGCATGGAAAAATGGAACTATAGCACCTTCCCATGGCTGAGTTGACTACAGCCTCCAGATGTTGGAAATTAAAAAAAAGAAGGAAGCCTTGCCTCTGTCTATGTACTGTTTGTATTTGTTAATTTGTGTAAATGGCATTGAATGTTTGCCATAAATGTATTCTGTAATCTACTCTGAGTCCCCTCGAGGAGATAGAGTATAATATAAATAAAGTATATTATTATTATTATTATTATTATTATTATTATTATTATTATTACCCGTAATTTCATGAACTGGACTCAGGGACAAACAATACCCCAAATACTGTGCATTTAGTAGGAAGCCTTGCCCCTGAACATGTTCAGATGCATTCTAGGGACGGAAATAGTGTTCAAAAGTATTTGCAAAATGCCCAAAATACATGTTTTTCAAGCGCTGATGGGAAAAATCCTGGACTGACAATAATCTTAGTTCAGCATGTATTCTGTGCAAAATTCACACATTGCTGTTTGGAACAGAAAACAGCATTTTCTGCACACAAGAAACAGTAGAAATATTATTTTGGTGTAGAAAATACTATTCACTGCACTGAAAATGTTGCAATTTGGAATTTGTTCTGTGAAAAATTTCTATGTGGTTGATATGAATTAAAAAACATTTTCTGACTTGGAAATAAAATGTCTGTACAGAAATATTATCTGTCCTGAGTTGCCTAAGGACTGAAAAGGGCGGTATACAAATATAGTAAATAAATAAATAATATTAGAAAATGCTGTTTTCTATGCAAAACTGATGTGCATGAATTCTGTGCACAATAAATCCCAAATTACGAATTGGCTTCGAAAACAGAGTGACTTTTTAAGTCTTTCTCACAGCAGGCAGGAAAGTATTTAAACTATATGCTGCTTTCTACAAGGAAGAGCTTAGTGAAAAATTACAAACCTACTTTTAACTGCAGTGAACTGCTTTATATATGAGTCTACGCTGACCATATAATGCAGTGTAAATGGGTCCTGAGAACTTTTAAGGTGACCTCAAGTATATAGGCATATAAAATAGGTATACAAATCCAACTATTTAAAAATATTGATGGTTAAATCCATGGACAAGGAACTGTACCACAGCAATAAAAATTAGCGCATGCAAAGCCCTAAGTATATAAAACTCAACCCCCTTGAGTATTTATTTATCATGTCAGAAGAGAATTGAGGATACAGTTATAATGTATAAAAAAACCACAAACAAAGTTAAAAACTTGGCATTATACTACATCTCCTTTGACCAGAAGCTGACAACTTGGAGTGCCTCTGGTGTTGCTGTAAGAAGGTCCTCCGCTGTGCATGTGGCAGGGTTCAGACTATATTGTAGTAAATGGTTTGTGGTTAGCTATTCTCCACACTTGCATGTCATGAATTCCACTCATTTCTTAAGATTGGCTCTGCACCTCATGTTCCCAGAGCGCAGTCTGTTCAGCACCTTCCAATTCACCCAGTCTTTTGTATGCCCAGGGGGAAGTATCTCATCTAGTATCAGCCATTGACTGAGTTTCCAGGTTTTAGCCTGCCACTTTTGGACTCTCACTTGCTGAGGTGTTACTGTGCATATCTCTGTAACTGTTAGGAAGCAATTTCTTGATTTAAGATTGGTATGTTTGCTGATATCCGAACAGAGGATGGGCCGGAGATGTCAATGACTTGGTCCTTTCATTACTGGCTTGCAGAATGCAACCAACCCTTAAGTAAAATACAGTAATCCTCAGTATCCACTAAGGCTTGGTTCCAGGACTTATCACAGATACCAAAACCCATGGATGCTTATGTCCCATCATGTAAATTTTAACCTGGAACTTATTAGTGGTGGTCTTGTGTGTATGTATTTTGTAATATGTAGTTCAATAGTGTTGTGTCTGATTTAACCATGTTGTACCCTGCCTTGAGTTACAAGGAGAGGCAGGTAACTATTATTATTATTATTATTATTATTATCATTATTATTATTGGAGCTCCCAGTGGCACAATGGGTTAAACTCTTGTGTTGGAAGGACTGCTGATCGAAAGGTTGGCAGTTTGAATCCAGGGAGCAGGATGAGCTCCCATCTGTCAGCTCCCATGCAGGGACATGAGAGAAGCCTCCCAGAGGATGGTAAAACATCCAGGCATTCCCTGGGCAATATCCTTGCAGACGGCCAATTCTCTCACACCAGAAGCAACTCGCAGTTTCTCAAGTCACTCCTGACACAGAAAAAAAAAATGCTGTTGTTGGGGGTCCCATCCCACCAATTAAGAAGCTTTGGTTTAGACAAGTTGGAGTTCATAAGTCAGCAACAAACCCTGGCTTTTAGCTGACTAGCTAACAAGCTTGAAATATATATTCAAAGAATTCCATTGCTCTATCTGGATTACAGAAAGTTGGGTTTTCTTGGTTTGTAACTCTGACTTTAAAGGCCTTAAATGATAATAAATTAACAGCATAAAGGATCTGTAGTCCTGCAATACAGCATCTGAATTGACACAGAGAAAACCTGAAGAAATAATCTTACTTTTAAGTCCCAATGACCTTGCAGTAAGAACTCTGCTTGCCTACATATCAAAACGACCTTGTTCCTAACAAGGTAATTACCTCTATCATCGAAAGATGCCTTAATGGCCCTATAAAGTGTCCCTTTTTTGATATATTGGGGGGATTACAAGCCTGCAAGATTAATTTATTAAACACTGTAGCACTTTATCAATATGCCTGTGGTGGCAGGGTATCAGGAGAAGGCTTGGGAGTAACCCTTGATACACTGTGGGAAGCTTGCTCACAACTCTACATCACCAGGGATGAGCAGGTGGAAATCCTTTTTCAAAAAGCTTGGAAAAAAGAGGGGCAAGCAAGGCACCAAGATGCCACTATAATTGCCAGGACTGCATCTTGTGCTTTCCCAGTCTTCGTATTCTAGCCAGGAGCCAGAGGAGTTCCTTGGCTGGTAATATTCAATGTCCCTCGCACAACTGCAAATCCCAGGTTTCGATAGGATGGAACCATGGCCGTCAAAGTGGAATCATAGTGCTACAACTGCACAGTCCAAATGAGCCTAATGTAGCAGGCAATGCAAAGGAAACGTACAAAGGATTCCCCCAGGCAAAAAGCAGCAGGCTTTGAAGCTGCAAGGCTATTCGATGCTAATCAAGGTGGCCAATTGCAACAGTCACACTTGCCTCCAACAGGCAAGAGTTCTTTCTCCCACTCTGAGCATTCCACAGATATATAAACCTCACTTGCCTAGTCATAGTAGTAACCTAGAGTGGATAATATTTCAGGCTAAAATTCCTTACCCTTGTACATTATTATTATTATTATTATTATTATTATTATTATTATTATTGGGAGTTAAAAAACCTAAACATCTGGAAGGCCCAGCCTCTAAATTACACCTACACCTAGGATTCAGAGTGACTCAAGATAAATCAAAGCTAACCCTTAACTTCTCCTGATCAGGAAGACTTCTGGATTCCTCCAGAACTCTGTCCAGACAAAAATGTTATCTGCTCTGCATTGCTCCCCAACCTTTTCTGGGTTCCAGAAAAGTAGCATTGGATTTGTTTTTCCTCCAAGAAGCTCAGGACAGCAAATGTGGCTCTTCAGCATCGTGTGTCCTGACTTTATCCTTACACCAATCCAATGAAGTAAAGTTGGGCAAAGAGAAAGCAACTGAACCAAGGTACCCAAGTGGTCTCCTGACTGCGGCTCTGAATCAGTGGCCTGCTACTTAAATAGTCTACCCCATAGTGGACAACCGGTAGCTCATCATACGTTGTAAAGATTATCTCTTATCAGCCCTAACCAACACAACCAATGGTGAGGGATACAAGCACAACCATGAAGCGGTCCATTTAGACCAGTGTTCCCAACCTGTGGTCCATGGCCCACCAGTGGTCTGCAAGAATGAAAATATGGTGTGCGACCTCACCATTACTACACCATTGTCTCGAAACTACATGGCAGCAAGAGCAACTGGTCTAATGAAACCCTCTTATAGTGCCGAGGCAACTGGGATATTGGGAGGGAAGAGGCTGACTACCCACAAAAGATGAACTACTACTACATCCGCTCCAGATTATTAAATATGGTTTTCTACTAGATGGCATGTGTTCTGTATCAGAAACTAGAGCTGATGTGGTCTATCCAATGTAATTTTCTGAATCAGCACCCCAAATATCCAAACCGAATCTAAACTTGACCAAAAATGGATTCGTAATCCTTTTGGTACTTATGTTGGAGAGTGGTCCCTGGTCAAAGTAGTCCCTGGTGAAGTGGTCCCTGGTCAAAAAAAGGTTGGGAACCACTGATTTAGAGCCTTCTGAATGTCTATGAATGGCAGCTCCCATCACACTATATGACTGGTTAGAACTGATAGGACCTGCAAGCCAACCCCGACTACCCATCCTTGTCTTTGCCACAGCACAAGTCACCCTAAAGGCTGGCTCAGAATGCTTTCCAGATATGGTTCTGAATACTCCCCCCAGGCCCATTCTCTTGCCTGCAGCGAAGGCAGAACACATCACAAAGAACATCCCAACAGCAATTCTCTTCAGAGATGAGGGAAGGAGGCCGTTCCTTTTCAAGATGGGGTCAACCACTTTATCTTTCAAAGGGATGAGGATGAGGATTAGCACTGCATCAAACATGGTCAGCCAAGCAGCTGGGAACTGGAAAAAAAAGATGAGATACAGGAAAGAGAAGTTAGTTAACATTCTGCTAAAATGGGATTCATAGACTGAAAGTTGAAAGAGACCACAAAGGCCATCTAAGAACAACAACAACAACAATTTGTTTGTTACTCGCCTCTCCTCATGACTCAAAGTGGGATACAAAATAATTAAAACACACAGATAAAATATTATACCATTGACACCAACACTAATACAATATAAGGTTAAAATTCATGGTTTAAAATCGACTAGTGTCAACAGATCTTGGACAAGTAATGTGCTTGGATTATAATTCCCTAAAGCCTCAACTGGTTTATATCCCAGTAGGTTGTGCATATATTTAAAGTCCACAACATGACAGGACGAGTGTGTCCCTGCTGGTTCTCTTGGACCTCTCAGTAGCCTTTGATACCATAGACCACGGTATCCTTCTGGGACACCTCACGGGAATGGGACTTGGAGGCACTGTTCCACAGTAACTCTGGTCCTTCCTGGAGGATCACTCTCAGAAGGTGTTGTTGGGGGACACCTGCTCGGCCCCACAGCTTGGGGGTCCCACAGGGTTCAGTATTGTCCCCCATGTTGTTAACATCTACATGAAGCCACTGGGAGAGATCATCTGGAGTTTTGGAGTTTGATGTCATCCGTATGCAGATGATGTCCAACTATATCACTCTTTTCCACCTGCTGCTAAGGAAGCTGTTTAGGTCCTGAACCATGCTTGGTGGCTGTGTTTGTCTGGATGAGGGCGAACAAACGGAAATTGAATCCAGACAAGACAGAGGTACTCCTGGTCAGTCAAAAGGCTGAACAGGGTATAGGGTTACAGCCTGTGCTGGATGGTGTTACACTCCCCCTAAAGATATGGGTTCAGAACTTGGGAGCTCTGCTGGATTCATCACTGAGACTTGAATCCCAGGTCTCAGTGGTGGTCAGGGGAGCTTTTACACAATTAAAATTTGTGTGCCAGTTGTGCCCGTACCTTGAGAAGCCAGACTTGGCAATGGTGGTCCATGCTCTTGTTACATCTTGCATAGACTACTGCAACGCACTCTACGTGGGGCTACCTTTGAAGACTGTTTAGAAGCTTCAAGTGGTCCAACACATGGCAGCCAGATTGCTAACTGAAGCGGTGTACAGGGAGCACACAACCCCCCCAGATACGCCAGCTCCACTGGCTGCCAGTCTGCTACCAAGCACAATTCAAAGTGCTGACTTTAGCCTATAAAGCCCTAAACCAGTGTTTCTCAACCTTTCTAATGCCAAAACCCTTTAATAATGCCAAAACCCTTTCATGCTGTGGTGACCCTCTGCTACTTCATAACTGTAATTTTGCTACTGTTATGAATCATCATGTAAATATCTGATATGCAGGATATTTTCATTCACTGGATCAAATTTGGTACAAATACCCAATACACCCAAATTTGAATTCTGTTGGGGTTGGGAGGGATTGATTTTGTCATTTGGGAGTTGTAGTTGCTGGGATTTATAGTTCATCTACAATCAGAGAGCATTCTGAACTTCACCAACGATGAAATTGAACCAAACTTGGCACACAGAACTCCCATGACCAACAGAAAATACGAGAAGGGTTTGGTGGGTATTAACCGTGAGTTTTGGAGTTGTAGTTCACCTACATCCAGAGAGCACTGTGGACTCAAACAATGATGGATCTGAACCAAACTTGGCACAGATACACAATATGTCCAAATGTGAACACTGGTGGAGTTTGGGGACCTTGACATTTGGGAGTTCCTGGGATTTATAGTTCACCTACAATCAAAGAGCACTCTGAACCCAGCCCACAATGGATCTGCATACAACTTGGCACACTGTCTACATGGCCAACATTGAATACTGGTTTGGGGGGGGGGGTGAGGGTTGAATTCTGGAAGTTGTAGTTCACCAGCACCAAAAAAGGAAGACAAGGGTTCCTAAGACCATTAGAAGTATGTGTTTTCTGATAGTCTTTGGTGAGCCCTCTGAACCCCCCCCCCCTTGTGACCCCCTTAGGGGTCCGCCCCCCAAGCTGAGAATCACTGCCCTAAATGGTTCTGGCACAGCTTACCTGTCCAAACGTATTTCTCTCCATGAACCACCTCAGAGGTTAAGATCTTCTGGGGAGGCCCTGCTCTCGGCCCCACCTCCTTCGCAGGTGCAGTTGGTGAGGATGAGAGACAGGGCCTTCTCAGTGGAAGCCCCTTGCCTGTGGAACTCCCTCCCCAGTGAAATCAGACCAGCTCCCTCCCTCCTGATCTTTAGAAAGAAATTGAAAACTTGGGTGTAGGACCAAACCTTTGCAGAGTAATGCAATGCAATAAGTGGATATGAAATAAGTGCAAGCACTATTGGAATGGCTCTTGGACTTTGACTCTGGATTTGTGTGGTTTTTAATCATTGTTTTTAATTATTTTTTCTTAACTTTTATGGTTTAATGTATATGCTTATTGTGTTCATATGTTTGTTCATATGACATTGAATTGTTGCCAGTTTGGAAGCTGCTCGAGTCCCCTTTGGGGTGAGAAGGGCGGAGTATAACTATAGTAAATAAATAAATAAACACATCAAACCAGACAAAACACAAAATAAAGTTCTATTCCAACCCACTCCATCAAAATCTAGATGTCCTTTGTGACCTTTTCCACTTAGATTTTAACCATGTCAGGATTCAAACGAAATCAAAATTAATTTGTTGACCTCCAAAAGGCAGGATACATAAGCTCTGCATGATCATTAGTAATATTCAAGGAGGCGATCATGCCTCTTTCCTGAACAGAGGACCAAAGGTCATTAAGGTCCTTGTAAGGCTTTTATTGCTCCGCTCATTCTGAAATCCTGTGAATAAAACACCATCATCTTGCAGTAGGCAGAGATTCCATTAAGTCCTATTAATTATGAAAGCACCTGTCTGCTGAATGATGGATGATGCCACTCATCACTGATAAACAAAGACCTGTAAATTATTGAAATAAATACACACAAATATGGCATTTTAACAGCCATCAGAGCTAATATTAATGAGATGTGTGACACAAAGCAGTCGAAAGTCAATTATGAATTCCCCATTGCTCCCCCTAGCTTCAAAAACCACATGTTCCTCAACATGAATTTGCTCAACTGCTTCTCACTGCTAGAATGCTTCTCCCAAACCATGCAATCTGTTTTGCATCATCATCTTCCAAGCAGCTGTAATATTTGATAGTGTTGTTACTCGTGTCGCTATTATCATCATCATCATTCCAACTTCTCCCCACTCCCAACAAGGTGGTTTACAAGTGTCAAAATAGACAAAACTAAATATTCATATCATGCAAATGGTGAAATAATAACTGAACTATCAATATGATTAAAACGCAATTAAAAGTTTGCCCAAAGTAAATACAGATAACACAGCCTATTACTGAAGCTTCTTTCCCCAAGAGCAATCAGTCCTCAAAGATCTGCCAAGAAGAAGAAAAAAGTCTTCACCTGCTAGTAGAAAGATAGAAAAAAGAACAGCCATCTGGGTTCTCTCTAGGAAAGGAATACTAGACTCTGGAGGCAGCCATTGAGAAGACTATCAACCATGTTTCCATGAAATGTATCTGTAAGGATTGTGGGTCAAAGAGGAAGGCCTCTACTAGATCTGGGAGAATGGAGATAACCTGAACCTATCCAGTCCAACCCCCTGCCATGCAGGAAAGGCACAATCAAAGCACCCCCGACAGATGGCTAACCAACCTCTGTTTAAAAGCCTCCAAAGAAGGAGGAGTTCTGAGGCAGAGAATTCCACCATTGAACAGTCAGGAAGTTCAGGTGGAGTCTACTTTCCTGTAATTTGGTGTGTGTGTATATAATCGGGGATGGGAACCATGTCTTCCAGATGTTGGTGCACTACAAATTTCATGACCCTATTCAACATTGTCAGTTGTAAACATTGAGCCCTGCAGTCTAGCTGCACCTGAAGGCCAACTACGACAGATATACACATGCATATATGTGTAGGCCTGCAGATGACTAGATACTTATATAGCCCTGTGTATTTGTATTAGGATGTTTAACATGCCAAAGCTGAAGGATGATGGGAACTGCAGTCCAGCAACATTGAGAGGGACATGCACTGTCCATACAACGTATGTATGAGTGTCTATAAAATTTATATACACACAAATAGTAAAATGTGGAAGTAAACCACATATGCTCAGAGGAATAAGGAATGTTGGCTGACTATTGAAGCAGGGAAATGGAAACAAAGATGAAAAGGACACAAAGGCAGAAAAAGAGATGGCTGACAGGAAGCATGAATATGAGGACTCTAATCGCAACGCTGTGTTGCATGTCTCATTTGTGTTCCTGTGTTTATTTTGAATAGTTAAACCAATTAGCGTCAATGACACTGGGAGTGGTATCGGATGCTCACTACACAGGTCTTTGCAAGTACTTTTGGCCGAGTAATGTGTCCCTAAAAACCACCAACAGTAACCAGCCGTGGCATGGAAGCCAAAGAAACCCAAAGAGCAGAGAAATTAGAAAGGCATTTCCCCCAAGGCTGTAAAGTAATTAAAGCAACATAACATGCCATCTGCACCAGCCTGGAGCATTTTAGCAGCAAACAATTTATGGCAGCATTAGCATATCATGGAAGATCAGATGTTTCGTTACATTTACAGAGGCCATGCACACATAATGTTTGTAATATAGATATTTACAGGTGCGTGTGCACACACATAAGGGTATGGCCTTTCTATTCAACCCTGTTTCCTTACATTTCGCATTCTAGAAAACCCTCAACAAAAGCAATCAACAGAAGCCATAAAATTCCTTCCCTGGAGAAAAAGGCAGAGGACATGTTTGTCATCGTTTTATACATTCACAACTTGTAAGACTGAGGTTGTCAACTTCTACAGAGAAAGACACAAGGTCTCTATAGCTACAGACCGGGTTCATGGATCCATGGGTGTTTTGTGTGGGTGTGGTGGAAGTGACAGCATTGAATGTTTGCCGCTGCCTGTTGTAAACCACCTTGTGTCCCCACAGGGAGATAGGGTGGAATATAAATAAAAATTATTATTATTATTATTATTATTATTATTATTATGAGCTTGCATCTCTTGGGTCAAATCTCTCCAGTTCCAGACAGTCATTTTGGAAGTTTGTTCAGTTAACGTTGTGGTGCCTTTTGGGGAAAGGCTATGTATCTGCGTTGAGTGGAGACTTGTTTGCTCTGGTGTGTTTAGCCCCATATCTCTGTCCGAACAACTGGTCTCAGGAGGGTTTGATATACTGTGGAAAAAGGTGTGATCTCATGGTCAGGAAAACTATAAGAGAAAGGAGTTCAAGAGGGCTGGAAGTTTCTGATAAGCAAGATATTAGAAGCACAGTTTCCAACAGTTCTAACAAGGAAGAAAACAGGAAGCATTGAAAGAAACCGGAATAGATGTCTACAGAACTTTCAATTAAGCACATTTTTAAAAGGTGGCATGTAAAAGGAATGGAAAAATGGAGAAATTGCCAAAGAGGAATTCAAATGAATCGCTAACATGTGTGAGGAGGAAGTCAGGTTTGCTAGAGAGGTTAAAAACAATAAAATTGGCTTTTTTCATTATGTCCATAGCAAAAGCAAGAACAAGGAAATAGTAGGGCAATGAGGAAGAGGGAAAGACATTGTTATTATTCTAATAATAATAGGGGCCGCGGTCGCGCAACAGGTTAAACTGTTGAGCTGCTGAGCTTGCTAACCTGAAGGTTGGCAGTTTGAATCCAGGGAACAGGGTGAGCTCCCACTGTTAGCCACAGCTCCTGCCAACCTAGCAATTCAAAAACATGCAAATGTGAGTAGATCAAGAGGAACCACCTTGGTGGGAAGTTAAAGGGATGTCCCATGACATCATGCCGGTTATATGACCAGGAGGTGTCTACGGATAATGCAAGCTCCTCGGCTTGGAAATGGAGATGAGCACTTCCCCTGGAACCAGAGATGAGCACTGCCTCCAGAGCCAGAAATGAAAGGAGAAGCATTTCCCTGTGTATTTGTGTTTCATTGTGCTTCAAGGGCATTGAATATTTGCATGTGTCTGTACCCGTTCCTTGGGAAGTCTGGCTTGTCCACGGTGGTCCACAGCCTTGTTACATCCCATATAGATTACTGCAATGCGCTCTACGTGGGGTTGCCTTTGAAGACTGCTTGGAATCTTCAATTTGTCCAGCGAGTGGAAGCCAGGTTGCTCACCGAAGTGATGTTCCGGGAGCACACAATCCCCGTTATATCAGCTCCACTAGCTGCCAGTCTGCTACCGAGTGCAATTCAAAGTGCTGGCTTTAGCCTATAAAGCCCTAAATGGTTCCGGCCCAGTCTACCTGTCCAACTGTATCTTCCCCTACAAAGTTAATCTGGAGAGGCCCTGCTCTCGGTTCCATCTTCCTCGCAAGTGCGATTGGTGGGGACGGGAGACGGGGCCTTCTCAGTGGTGGTCCCTCAGTTGTGGGACTCTTTCCCTAGTGACATCAGATTGGCCCCCTCCCCCCTAGCATTCAGGAGGAGAATCAAAACCTTGCTCTGGGAGCAGGCTTTCAAAAAATAAGGCAGTGCAGTAATCTTAATGTGGAATTATGTGGAATTGATCACGGAATGGCCTTAGACCTTGAACTCTGAATGGCGTGTTTTTAACCTTGAATGTATTTTAATTATGTTTATTATGTTATAAGTTTAACTCAAAACAATTTTAGATGAATTTTGTATGTTTTAAGTCACTGTCTAGGTGCCATGTGTAAGCCGCCTTGAGTTCCCCTCCAGGGTAGAGAAAGAAGGGGTATAAATAAGGTAAATAAATAAATAATAATGCTGGAATCCACTTTGAGTCCTCTCAGGGAGATAGGGCGGAATACAAATAAAGTGTTGTTATTATTATTATTATTATATTAGTACCATGAGCAGAGAGCCTCTTATGATCCACAGAATGCTTTTCCCCTTTTGAAAACATGTCCTCAATGGTCAAATTGTTCAAACAACAAAGGGGCATTGTAATAAAAAGTCCCCATTTCTTGCTTTCACAGCTCTAAACTCTTATGAGGGAATGTGATGACAGGCTTGATATAGACAAAAACACAACATCCAACACAGGGGACTCAGGCTGCAAAGAAATGTCTAGCAAAATTTTGGCAATATTTCTCAAGAAGTGGGATTTTTTTCCCCTCACACCTCTATTCCCCACTTACCGTATGGCTGGTCAAAGTGCTGTTAACGGAGGCATTTGAAAACTGTGGGATCCTCAAATGCAGGCTCTGGAGGACATACGTCGTCTGCATCTGATATTAAAAAGAAAAAAATTAGTGCCACAAGAATACATTACTGCACTACTGCATAAGGACAGAGTCCCTGGCCCAGAAAGTGTGCACTCCATCTGCCAACATCAGCAAAGATGGCATATGCTTGTTTGTTTCTGAAATCAAGCACCATTTCTTTTTAATAAGAAAGATGGATTTGCAAATGGATTCAGAAGTTGACAAATCATTCCCTGACTCACATCTGAAAAACTGGCTATTCTTTTCACCCATCTATTTCCACCCAGCCAGCATCTCAAGGCCAGGACTGAAGATATGACGATCCAGAAAAGAATATGGTTATTCACAACCATAGATGCAGGCAAAACGTCAGGAGAGAATGCTTCTAGAACATGGCCATATAGCCCAAAAGACCTACAACAACTTAATATGGTTATTTTCATAATCTCTGAGGATGCATGCCATAGATGCAGGTAAAACGTCAGGAGAGAATGCTTCTAGAACATGGCCATATAGCCCAAAAGACCTACAACAACTTAATATGGTTATTTTCTCCTCCATAACCTGATGTTGACTTGATGCCTGCCATAGATGCAGGTGAAACGTCAGGAGAGAATGCTTCTAGAACATGGCCATATAGCTCGAAAGACCTACAACCAGGCCCGTAGCCAGGATTTTGTTTTGGGGGGGGGGGGGGGGGGGGGGGAGGGGGGCTGAGTTTGGTTGGGGGGGGGGGGGCTGAGTCTGAGTGAAAGAGGGTCTACCCTAGCAAACCTTTTGTATCGTTACCCCAATACCCCCATGCATATGGGATATATTGAGCATGGTGATCAGATCATGATATGAATAAACATAACAGTTTAAAATAAATAATGTACCAGTAAGGCCTTCTCGTGGACCACCATGAGAATTTGGGGGGGGGGGGGGGCTTCAGCCCCCCCCCCCCCCCCGAAATTCTCATGGTGGTCCACGAGAAGGCCTTACTGGTACATGCCTGCATACATGCCTACCTACAACATCCGTACAACAACTACATGCCTGCCTACAACAACTTAATATGGTTACTTTCCCCTCCATAACCTGATGTTGACTTGATGCCTGCCATAGATGCAGGTGAAACGTCAGGAGAGAATGCTTCTAGAACATGGCCATATAGCCCAAAAGACCTACAACAACTTAATATGGTTATTTTCTCCTCCATAACCTGATGTTGACTTGATGCCTGCCATAGATGCAGGTGAAACGTCAGGAGAGAATGCTTCTAGAACATGGCCATATAGCTCGAAAGACCTACAACCAGGCCCGTAGCCAGGATTTTGTTTTGGGGGGGGGGGGGTGAGTTTGGTTCGGGGGGGGCTGAGTCTGAGTGAAAGAGGGTCTACCCTAGCAAACCTTTTGTATCATTACCCCAATACCCCCATGCATATGGGATATATTGAGCATGGTGATCAGATCATGATATGAATAAACATAACAGTTTAAATAATGCACTAGTAAGGCCTTTTCGTGAACCACCATGAGAATTTCGAGGGGGGCTTGGGGGGCTCCACCCCCCCCCCCCCCCCCCCCGAAATTCTCATGGTGGTCCACGAGAAGGCCTTACTGGTACATGCCTGCATACATGCCTACCTACAACATCCGTACAACAACTACATGCCTGCCTACAACAACTTAATATGGTTACTTTCCCCTCCATAACCTGATGTTGACTTGATGCCTGCCATAGATGCAGGCGAAACGTCAGGAGAGACTGCTTCTAGAACATGGCCATATAGCTTGAAAAACCTACAACAAGCCAATATGGTTACTTTCCCCCCATAACCTGATGTTGACTTGATGCCTGATATAGATGCAGGTGAAACGTCAGGAGAGAATGCTTCTAGAACATGGCCATATAGCTTGAAAAACCCACAACAAGCCAATATGGTTACTTTCCCCTCCATAACCTGATGTTGACTTGATGACAATTAACAATAACAATTTGACCCTCCCCCCTTTTTTTTCTGGACATAGGAGGAGATGTGGGGAAAGTATTTATTGTCCACGTCACTGCTTCCTTCAGATCTCTTGTTAGTACTATACTTCTGATAAGTTTCCGGACCCAATTCAAAGTGCTGATTATCACCTATAAAGCCCTATACTGATACTAATATTGTGCTGTGCTAATAATATAATATATTGTATACACATATAATATTAATAATATTATAATGTAATACAATATAATACTAATAATACAATATAATAATTATATATTTATATTACATGTTATATTACTAATAATAGTACAGTATAGTGGTATAGTACAATGTAGTAATATATAATGCTAATATTGTGCTATGTTAATAATACAATGTATTGTATGTACATATAACTTGTAAGCCACTCTGAGTCCCCTTCGGGGTGAGAAAGGCGGGATATAAATGTCATAAATAAATAAATAAATGTACTGATAAGAACAGATAGTACACTTGATCTTAGCCAAAAGGCCGAGAAGCGAGGATTTGCTTCATTATTTGTTTTCCTGCCCTCAGTATTCTGAGCCAAGAACTAAAATCTTGGGGCCTATTCTTCATCTCCTTCAAACCAACATTATGTCAGAAAAGATTTTCTATCTCTTAGCTGAAACTAACCCTGTGGTGACTCACAAATTGTCTCTTTTTGCCCTGGCAGCACAGAAAATCCGGGCAAGACTAATTTCTGATATTGCAGTCGACTGTGCTGGGGATGCGTTTAACTAATAGTGGCTGTTTATATATGTGTGTTCTCTGCTTAAGTTTTAATAATGGTGTATCTATTTGGTTTTACCTGATTTGGAATTACACAGGTGCTAGTCCATGCAGTATTTAGGGTTTTTGAGATAGTTTTTCAAATATGGAGAACGTATGCCATCTACTAGTCATCCATCTAAGCCAGGATAGCCGTGTCTAAGAAACTAGAGCTGATGTGGTCTATCCCGTGCAATTTACTGAATCAGACCCCAAAATATCCCCAGGAACAGGTCTAAAAACCAAGGCATGTGTGAGCTGAAATACAAAGCATCCAGAAGACCCCAGCTGAAAAACATTTTTCATCCAACAGCCTTCTCTGAATCACCTACAGATCTCACAGAGAAATAGGACTGCAAAAAATAGGGATCTAGTGCTCAGGGCCTAGCTAAATGGCTCCCAGTCATAATAATAATAATAATAATAATAATAATAATAATAATAATAATAATAATAATAATAATAATAATAATAATAATAATAATGGTTCTCAGTCACCAACCTGAAAATAGACCGTCCAGTAAGGTATGAGAGCCAAGAAGACAGGAATGATTTTAACAAGTGCTTTGACATCTTCAACTTTGTCTTCCCTGAACGGTCCTCCACGGGAAGCTTTTGCCATCTCAAAGAGGCTTTGTTTGGGAGGCTGGTGCTGAAGTATACCCTGGCTATCCCTTTCAAAGAGAAAAAAGAAGAAGAGAAAGAGCAGAAGGGTTTAAAAATTCAACATCACTGGAAAAGTCCTATATATCATGAGTGAGAAACCTCAAGCCTTGGAATTGAATCTGGCCCTCTTCGGCTTCCGAGAAGGTCCTACCCCTCCCCATGACCCCATTTCTGGGTGGCTTCCCAGCTTCCCATTATATGCTTTATTCTAAAACATTGAAATGCTTCTTTAAGGCATTTTTCCAAACTGTGTGTCATGATACATTAGTGTGTCAGTTGCAGTGTGTAGGTGTGTCACATAAACATAATGAGAAATGACAATAATCTTGGAAACGTATGTTATTACAAATCATATACCTTGAGTCCCTGCAGGGGAAAAGGCAGGGTATGAATAAAGTTAATAATAATAATAGTAATAATAATAATAATAATGTAAGGTTTTAATGAGATATATTGTGTCCCCATACATTTTGCTATTACAATTTATGGATGTGTCGCTATCTCTTATAACAGGTTGGTTTAACCTCCAATTTGCTAGTAAAACTGAATTACTGTGTCACAAAATGATGCATGTCTAAAAAGTCTGTAACCAACATGAAATGTTTGGAAAGCTCTGCTCTAATGCTTTGTTATTAGGATTGAGAGCTTTGGCCGTTTCCGCCTCTCTCTCTTTCATTTGCTACCCAAGCCACTAGAATTCTCAGCCCCTAGTTTCTCTACCCAGCCCCTAGTTTCTCTAAATTTGCATTTGGCCCTCAATCTGAAGGAGGTTCTGCCACTTTGGTGTAAGGCACTTCTTAAACTGTGGGTCTCAACATTTTAAAAATCCTTGGTCGATATTTTAAAAATTCTAAATGCCACCTAGTGGCCGTTTTAGGCATTGTCTTGCAGTGATTACAGTGGATTCTGCAGAAGATGCTTCAAGTGTACTTCATAAAAAGGAAAATCAACCTGCTTAGCAAACCTTGCAAATGCTGATGTATTATCAGTAAATGTTTGAGTTTTATATCTATTTTATAGGGCTGGGCGGTTTCGTTTCATAATTCCGTAATCCGTTAAAAATTCGTTATTTTTTTTTATAACGAAGCGATTTTGAACCATTCAGGAGCATCTGAAAAACGAAACGAATTTTTCAATTCGTTTCGTAATTGCTTCGTATTCGTTTCGTTATTATTTCCGCATGTCTGGGGCAAGTTTTACAGCTGTTGTTTGTTTAATTAGTGAAAAAAAATTATAAATATCACACCAACAGTCAACAACAGAGGGAGAGGGAAGCTTCAAAAGTTCCCCCTGTCCCATTTGGAGGTTTTTTAGCGTATTGCGCGGTCGCATCCGCCATTAACGAATCGATTCGTATTCGTTTCGAAATCGTTTCGTAATTGTTTCGTAATTTACAAAATTTCGTAAATATCGAACTTTTTTAAAGAAAAATTTCGGAATTCATTTAAATATCGAAACGCAAAAAACCCCAAAAAACGAATCGAGTTTAGAAACAAATTTTTCCGTGGTTGCCCAGCCCTACTATTTTATATAACTATATACATGGAGTCATGTAAACATTTCTTGGTGTGAAAGCGATCCCGAGTGGAATGGTTTAAGATGTCCTGGTGTAAGGAATAAAGGAGTAATAAATCAAACTAGGCATGCATACTTAGGACCTCATCACACTAGAGCATTTATCCCAGTGGTTCTCAACCTGTGGGTCCCCAGGTGTTTTGACCTACAACTCCCAGAAATCCCAGCCAGTTTAACAGCTGTTAAGATTTTTGGGAGTTGACCCATAGGTTGAGAATCGCTGATTTATCCACTTTAAATCCTGCAGCTACCTCCTGCTGAATTCTGGGGTTTGTAGCTTAGTGAGACTCAGGATCCCCTTGGCTGAGTAATTTAAAAGTCACTCCCTAAACGACAAACCCCAGAATTCTGCAGGAAGGAGTCACAGAATTTAGAGTGGATAGATGCTCTAGTGCAATGGCTCTCAACCTGTGGATCCCCAGATGTTTTGGCCTTCAACTCCCAGAATCCTAACACTGGTAAACTGGCTGGGATTTCTGGGAGTTGTAGGCCAAAACACCTGGGGACCCACAGGTTGAGAACCACTGTTCTAGTGTGACGAGGTCTCAAGAGGGTACTGAGCTGGTGAAGACTGTATTGCACTATTAGCAAGGCTCTGAAGGGTTCCATACTGGGGACAAAGAAGGATGGTCTCTCTGAGTCTCACCTAGAAATGCCCGAGATTGAACTCAGGACAAACAGCATGTAAAACAGATGCTGGACCACTACACAATCCCACACACACTCCATACCTGTTCCTAGGGTATTCTTCGGACCTTTTCCGTGAACAGCAACAATAGGCTAGGATTTTAAACATGTCTGTGAAGGCACTGCCATCAGGGGGCTTTGTGATGAAGACACTTTGACTGCACAAAAACACGAAGAAGGACACTCCAATGCAAACAGCTGGGATGATGTAGCCTGTGCGAAAATCCACATTCTGTTGGATATATGCAATGCCTCCTAAGGACAGGATGGCTCCCAAGTTAATACTCCAGTAAAACCAGTTAAAAAACCTCCGAGTGGCTTCAGGACCTCGATCCTTGACCTGCAAGAGATTAATTATGTTTAAAAAACACATATTTTGAAAAAAATTATCTCTTCCTCCCCTCCTTCCTAGGGTGAATCCAATTATCAGTTTAATCTACAGAAGGGCTGTTAAATTATTACAAGAGTAGATCTGCATTAGATAGCATGCCTCCCTTAGTATTCCTACATATATAACAATTAGTTACAATGCTCAACAGCACGATATCAGATCACAAAGCCACAGGCTGATGTCAACATGGGCCTGCCAACTACAGAGAGCATTTAAAAATCACCAAAAAGCATTTGTTTACACACTTCTGAGGACTCACTTAATAGGTAGCATGATATACTTAGAACCACAGAGTTATAAGAGACCTCGTGGGCCATCCAATCCAACCCCCTGCCAAAAAGCAGGAAAATCACATGGATAGGAGACTACAACACATCTCAATTGCAAGGATGGGCATAAAACTCCAGCACCAACCTTTGAATACCAAATTGAATAGAAAAAATATGGTAGGATTGCCAAAACTACCAACACATGTAGAAGTAAAATATTGAAATATAGACTAACACACACCATAAAATGTGTACTATATTTACTCAAGCCTAGAGCAGGTTTGGGGCCCAAATTATAGATTTTGATATGATCCATGATTCAGTCGAGAGTAATTTCGTGGAGAGGGGTAAGCACAAATGCCAACTCTGGTCTCTGAAGTGATTTCCTCACTCAGGCATTCAAAAGTTCAGAATCAGCACCACATCAGAGAGAAAAGATTCTCTCTTAAATTGTGGGGCCCAAAACTGGACACAGTGTTATTCCAGGTGAGTTCTGATTTAAAAAGACTAGAGGTGCACCGTGACGTTCCTTGATCTAGACCAGAAGTACCCAAACTATAGCCTGTGGGCCAAATCCTACCTTCCAAGGTTGTTTTTCTGCCCCAAATGTTATTGCCACTCATGAGTGCGCAGACACACAAGCACAGCCAACGGACACACACAATGGAGGTCAGTGCATGTGTGTGGCAGTGTGTTTTTGGTAGCTGCGGGGTGCGTGTGTGCACACCGGGTATGTGCCATGGCTGGCACACCCCCACACGACTAAAGTCTGGCCGCCCAACAGACTGTGAACTGACCCTCCACTTGAAAGGCTTGAGGACCCCTGAGCTAGACACTATACTACTCTTAATGGAGCCCAAAAATCCCATTGGCTTTTAAAGCTGGTTTATGTTCAACTTGTTGTCTACTAAGACTCCAAGATCCCTTTCATATGTAACTTTGTTTCCAAGCCAGGTGTCACCCATCCTGTATCTGTGCATTTTGTTTTTTCCGCCTGAGTGGAGTAGCCTACAGTTCTCATTGTTGAAATTCATTTTGTTAGTTTTGGCCCAGCTCTCTAATCTGTTAAGGTCTGGTAAAATAAGGAAAAACCACATTAAATACCAGCAGCTGTAGTTTCTTCTAAAAGAATTCTGCATTACGTGTCAAAGTGATATGGCCTCATGAAGCATTTCTGTTTAAAGAGCTAAATGAATTTCCTTGGGAGAAGATAGCATTTGCTATAAGAATACCTCCACTGGGAAAACAAACATCTGAGAGACCGTGCAAAGCTTGTGATAAACTGAAGTTTTTGCTCAATCATTGTGGCCCAGCCACAAAGTAGAAAGTTGCCATCTTATGAAAAAAAATAACACAACGCAACACAATTCATAGCTGTTTTTCTGCAGCAGCCCAGAAATGTTGCTGATTCATCACTAGGAACTATTTTGCTGAGTCTTTCAGTCTATTCCAGCCTCACAATCTAGCACATCAACATAGTAAGTCACCCTAGTCCACATGCCACCATGAGGACACAACTCATGGATGCAAGTGTCCAGCTTCCTCTAGTTTTGGATTAGTTCCAGTATGGCAGAGCACTGAGTAAACTCCTTGCAACAGTTTTGGTTTCTATCATTGGTGAGTGTGTGCACATAAACAGCTTCCCACTGGTTTGGAAATCACCTATCAGACAGATGGCAAGCTCTTTAACCTCAGCAGGCTGAAAGCTAAAAGTAAGGACACAACTTCTGTTATACAATTCCAGTATGCTGATGATAATGCAGTGTGTGCTCATTCAGAGGATGACCTACAAGTCACTTTAAACACCTTTGCAGAGGTATATGAAAAGCTTGGCCTCTCACTGAACATTGAGAAAACCAACGATGCAAATGGACATGGATTTAAACCTGGAAGTCATTGATTTTTAGTTTTAAATTGTTTTTATATGGATTTTATTATGTGATTTAACTTGTTTTAAACAATGTATTTGTGTGTTCAGCACCTAATTGTTGCCAGTCTGTACACCGCCCTAAGTCGCCTTCAGGCTGAAAAGGGCAGAATAAAAGTGTAGTAAATAAATAAATAAACAAACGTGCTCTCCCAGCAAAAGGCACCAAGTAATCCCTCTGCAATGCCAGCAATACAGCTTATTGGTGTAACAATAGAACATGTTGACCATTTCCATCACCTAGGCAGCCACCTCTCCACAAACACCAACGCTGAAATACAACACCATATGAGCTCTGCTTTTTTTTAATGAAGCAGAGTGTTTGAGAATCGGAACATTCGTAGAGATACCAAGATGCCTGTTTAAGTGTTTACAAAACTATTGGGTGCTTCCAACTCTGCTATATGCCTGTGAAACATGGTCCATCGAGAAACATCACTCTCAACTTCTGGAAAGGGAAAAATGTGCCAAGAGGAAGGCACATTTGGCCTCTCACTGGACATCGAGAAAACCAAAGTGCTCTCCCAGCAAAAGGCACCAAGTCATCCCTCTGCAATGCCAGCAATACAGCTTAATGGTGTAACAATAGAACATGTTGACCATTTCCATCACCTAGGCAGCCACCTCTCCACAAACATGAACACTGAAATACAACACCATTTGAGTTCTGCGTTTTTTCAAAATGAAGCAGAGAGTGTTTGAGAATTGGAACATTCGCGGGGATACCAAGATGCCTGTTTAAGTGTTTATAAAACTATCGGGTTCTTCCAACTCTGCTATATGCCTGCAAAAAATGGTCTACCTACAAATGTCACTCTCAACTTCTGGAAAGGAGAAAATGTGCCAAGAGGAAGGCGTGTCAAGGAAACCCTTGTCAGAAGCACCTTCCATCTGGAAATCTATGCCCTCATTGTGAAAGGCCATGTGGATCCAGAATAAGTTTCCACAGTCATTTACAGCTCCATCGCAAAGACACTACCTCTGGAAGACAATAATACTTGACCATGAGTGATCACCTATGATGGTGACACATTTCAAGTACTATTCGCAGAGAAAGAACCCTTTGTGAGCTTGATGCTTCAATCCAGTTTTACCTGCTTCTTGTTTCCTATCACAGCTCCCTTAGATATTGCTTTCCTTAGATATTACATAGCTTGATAAGATAAGGATGGAGAGAGATGTGGATTGTTTGTTAGAGTATATCAAGAATCAGAATCATGCAACCCACACACATCCCATTGGATTGCAATTCCCATCAGCCCCAGCCGGCACAGCCAATGTATTCTGAGGCCGGGGACAGTGTGACCCTCAAGGTATCAGCTTCCAGCAGCCCAAAATGTTGGGGCTCCTGGGAGTTGAAGTCTAAACATATCTAGAGGGTCACACCTTTCTCATCCTCAGAATACAATGAAGAGGCAGAAAAGGTGGGGGGGACCAAAACAAACTGAAATTTTGTGGCGGCAGATTTTCAACTATATCCTAAGACACTCCTGACATTCCTCAAAGGTTTATCCAGAGTCCTTCCAGGAATAAATCCATAAAGGCACAATTGTCAGCCATTAAACTCACGGCTCATAAAAACTAATAGGGCAAACTTGTCTATAAACATCTACTTGGAAGCAAGCCCTATTAGATTTAATAGGATTTGCTACTTTAAAATGCTGAGAATTCAATGTATGCAACTTGCAGGTTCAAGGGTTTTTGGGGGGAGAGCGAAGGAAGAGGAGTGAGATAGGGAAGGAAAAGGAAGATGGCAATGAGATTGTGTGTGTGTGTTCAAGTTGCCTGTCAACTTATGACAATCTCATGAATTTCACAGGGTTTTCTTTGGCAAGAAATACTCAGACATGGTTTTGACAGTTCCCATCTCTCAAATATAGCCAGAGTACATGATTTTAATTGATGATCATACTAACCAGGACTAACCCTGCTTAGGTTCCAAGATCAGATAGCATCTGGTACCTTCAGGGCATTTAGGCCCTTAAGTTTACCTCTGTGGTTCCCAACATTTTTTGACCAGGGACCACTTTGACCAGGGACCACTCTCCAACATTAGTACCGAAAGGGTTATGAATCAGTTCCCATTTAATCAGCTTTAGATTCGGTTACTTGAGGTGCTGATTCAGAAAACTGCATTGAACAGACCACATCAGCTCAAGTTTCTGATTCAGAACATATGCCATCCCGTAGTCGCCATCTGCTCGCCCACAGAAAACCATATTTAATAAGCCTCGGCACTCTAAGAATGTTTTGTGAGACCAGTTGCTCTCGTTGCAATGGTGTAGTGACAGTGGGGCCATGGACCATATTTTAGTTCTTGCAGATCACTGGTGGTCCATGGACCACAGGTTTGTTTGTTTTTTTGTTGTGTCAGGAGTGACTCCTGGTGTGAGAGAATTGGCCGTCTGCAAGGACGTTGCCCAGGGGATGCCTGGATGATTTGATGTTTTTATCATTCTTGTGGGAGGCTTCTCTCATGTCCCCGCATGAGGAGCTGGAGCTGATAGAGGGAGCTCATCCGCCTCTCCCCAGATTCGAACCTGCGACCTGTCGGTCTTCAGTCCTGCTGGCACAGGGGTTTAAACCCACTGCGCCACAGGGGGCTCCACAGGTTGAGAACCACTGGTTTACCTAGTTAAGGTAGCAAGAGAAAAGTTAAGAATGAGAGGAGAAGAGGAAGACAAAATGCAGCCTTTAGAATCTGGGAGAGAAGAAAAAAAAACATGACAAAGAGGGAATAAAAATAAGGATTT